TCTTTCCCTTTAGATTCCTCTTCATTAGATTTAGAAACATTTGACGTGCACACTTTATCAGATGCTCTCAAGAGGTATCTTCTGGACCTGCCAAATCCCATCATTCCAGCAGCTGTTTACAGTGACATGATTTCTGTAGCTCAAGGTATGGCTATCACATTATTTCAAATGTCAAACAAATAGCTTTTATAAGGATTTTGCATATCCAGTGATCCAGCAGTAACCCATGGAATGGGGGAGATTCTGCACAACCTGGCAGCAACTTATAAAACATATGTAGCTTCACAACTTTTGATGAAAGCTGTTTGAATACAGATCTAGACATGCATCATTTACTTACCTTTTAGGTAAAACATAACTTCATTTTAGTAAGTAAAATGACTATAGAAAAACTGGGGGAAGAAATCAAGGACTTATCTGTATGCAGAAAGCTAATTTTTAACTTTTTATCAGTGCTGACAAAGTAAATGTATTAGAGGTCATGGTGTTCTGTGGTAGGTTGGGAGTTGCAGATTATGAAGTGAGAAATACATGAATGTAAGATTCCTCATCTACAGTGGTAATTTCAAATAAGTACAGCTTATAGGCTTTCAGCACGTGGGCCAAATGTTCTGTTATACATCTCGGGACAGGATATTGTTACTGGTAACCTTCAAAGTTAGAACAGCACCTGTGAGACTTATCTAGTTCATCTCAGAATTACCCAATCATGTGTGACGCTAAACACAAGACAGACTTCTACCAGTACACTCTGAACACATTGTGGTTTTTACCAAAATGTGTCTGTTTCCATTTGACTTTTAAATACTTGTTCTTTACTCTTCCCTGATCATTTAGCTTTTTCTGAAGAAGAAGAAGGAAGTCCTGCAGCAGTAATGAAGGACAGAATTACTATCTTTTTTCTGTAAAATCGATGCTTCCAAAGGATTCATACAGTTTCATTTTACTCATTGAATGTTCTGCTCTGATATCAACAGCTTTTTATCTGTTTGCTTGCAGAAGTGCAGAGCTCAGAGGAGTATGCTCAGTTGCTGAAGAAACTCATCAGATCTCCAAATTTACCTCCCCAGTATTGGCTCACACTCCAGTATTTGCTGAAACATTTCCTCAGAGTTTGTCAAGCCTCCAGCAAAAATCTCTTGAATGCAAGGTCTCTGGCTGAAATTTTCAGCCCTCTGCTTTTCAGATTCCAGATAGCAAGGTACATGGGTCAACTTTATTATATTTTATACTATAAGTATGCATTAGATGTATACAATAATTCTAATATGAACTTTTGCATTTTTCCTAGTTCTTACTGTCTAATCCCTTTCTTACAGCTCTGATAATACTGAGCACCACATAAAAATTCTAGAAGTTTTAATCACAAGTGAATGGAATGAGAGACAGCCTGTACCAGGTAAAAACTTTTAATTATAAAAGTTGTATACTGTTTTCTAAAGTATTAGTACTCAACTTAAGGATAGTAAAGGCTGATTGTTTTTCTTTTTTAGTCAAACATAATGCAAAAGTGCATAATTAAAGAATTAAGTAGAAGTTGTTCATGTGTTCTTTAGTGGTGTGCAACATTTGCTTTATAAGAAACTGTCTTTTTAATTAAAATTAATTTAGTACTTATAGTTTGTACAGCATTAGGACTTTAATTTCTTTTGAAGTAAATAGTGAATTTGTGAATTTTTAAGACCTGTAAACCAATAGAATGCATATCCTACAGGAGTGTGGTGTGATAAGTTCTGGAGAACTCTACTCCCAGGCACATTTTCTTAGAATAACAATAGTCCATAGATATCATAATCAGAAAGTAAGACTTCCCTCTTTATTTACATATATTTTTGTTTTTTAACCCAGAGACTCAATTATTTCTCAATATCAATAAACAGAAAATATTAAAACCCCATTCAGGAAAGTTGGCTTATACTTGCATTCTGTGAGTTAGTATCTAATTTAGTCAACAAACAGTAAAACCTGCCTCTAGTTTAGGCTAAAATCCCTGTTTTTAAATCATGTATTTGGCAGGAGCAAGACAGAGTTGCTAACTATATGCAAAGGAAATTATTAACACAGAGGGGCATACAGATGTTGACTTAAATTAATTCCTTTTGCATCTGAGTAACAGAGAATATCTGAATAAAGTATAGGACGATGGTGAACAGAACATTGGACAGATTAGCTCTGCCACCTCTCTATTCAAAGTACAAGGTAGCAGAAGGATTTTTAGGGCTGCTTAAGATTTGAAGAGCTAGAACCCAGCAGCAGAAAAATGGCAGTAGAAAAATGCCTGATTTCTCCTATTTCAGGTAGGCCTATTGTATAATCCCCTTCATCAACTCAAAGACAATGTTGATATATCTAAGCTACTTTATACACATTTGGTTTTGTTAAGTTTTGTCAAAATAGTTAAGCAGGCATTTCCAGATGTGTATTTTCCATGTTTTCCATGTGTATTTTTCTTCCTAATTCTTTGTAACAACCAGGAGAGTCTAATCTTTCAATGTCTGTTTGTCCAGTCTTACCAATAAGCAGCAAATAATTGCTAATTGTTAAAGAATTATTTTCTTTTCCCCCAGTTATAAAGAATAATCCATTTATGAAGCATCTAATATTCTAAAGAGTTTGCTAATAGTTGTTTTTTTTTATTATATGTTTAAAATCCTTTAGAGTATGTAAATTTACAAGGCTAGAGGCACTGATTGGGAGGTTACAAAGGTAGGGTCAATAGTGAGAGTTGCTTAAATTTCAGAGTGAGAGTTTCTTAAGTTGCACTTCAGAGATCAGTTGATTACATAGTATTCTGATTTGCTTCATATGAGGAAAGTATATAAGTGAAGTGTGTTGTTGTTTGAACTACTAATGAGGACAAGGAGTCCAATAGTCCAGTCGTCTTCAGACTATCATCAGAGTGCTTGAAGAAGTGTGGCTGTGTCCATCAGTTTGACACTGCATTAATAATTATAAGCTAGCGTCTGCTTATTTTTAATATTGCTTCTGCATTATTTGAAATTTTGTGATGCAATAGTTTATTTTGAGGGTCCTCTTGGGATTTTTTCAGGTAATTGTTTACAAAAATAGAATTATTCCCTATGCATTTCGAAGTCCATCCTAGGCAGTGGAATGGCTTTTAGTAGAATATTTTCACATCTATTAATATGCTGAAAAAGATAAGAATTTTCAAGCTTTGTAGTCTGTGATTAACTTGCCTCTGCTCTTAGGCCTGTAAAGCACTGAAATAATTTTCTGAAGTAGAGCCTTAATAAAATGTTGTGTAAGTTTATAGGATTAGGATATCAGTTTTCCACACCAAAATCATTCAGTGACGTAATCACCTGAAGTCATCTGTTTATATAGTTTTCATAGAAGACTCTAAAATACATTTTTCAGAATTACTGTCTTCAAGATTATTGCTTGTAGTTTTTTAGAGACATTGTATTAAAAGGAAGATTCCTAGGAATAATAATTAATTTGTCATAGAAGCATTATGAGAATTACAATCTATAATGGAATTTTTCAAGTGTAGAAGTTAAGAGGTTTTAAGCAGAAAGAAGCTTACTTGTGAAAGTAATATAATGACAACTAAACTATAAGAAAGAAGACAGTGCTGCCAGGTTTCTTCTGTTTTTCACAGCCTGGAGTGATAACATCCTCCTTTCCTTTTTACTTGTGTTACTCTCAAACCTTGATGAAAACTTTGTCTGAAACAAGCTATGCATGAAGTTTGAGTGATACCTTACACACTATGTAAATATATTAAATGTAGTGTTGAAGATAAATTATCTTTGCACAACTGTGGGTTTTTTTCTTATCACATCAGCCACTAATTATCCATCTGACCTCAAAGCAAGAGAATGCATGCAATCAGACCTTATATCTTAATATACCTTGAAATCAGTATCTTAAATTGGACATCTGAGACATAACCAGGAGTTACTGCTAAGCCTTTAATTGATTTTTTTATCACAGAACAACTCTGGACTGATTTTTTGTTTTTTCCTCTGTCACAGTGTTCAACAGCAAACTGTGCATTTTAGTTTGTGAATTTGAATATTGCTTAGCCTTCCCCAGAAGTTAAAGTACTGTTGTGCCTACGTATGTAGTAAGTCAAGATAGTAATGTTATGGGAGAAGTAACATTGGACAACTGATTGCTGTTTTGAATAACTGGTAACGACATCCATTTTCTGATTCCCATCTCATTCTTCTAATTTATGAGTAGGAGAGCTAAAAGATGGTGTTAGTGGATAAGTTAAATGACTTAGCATTCCCTCTTAATGCCCCAATTTGATGACCAGCCACACAGGCTTTAATTTAAAGAGTTTTCCACTTAAGTCAGAAACAAAGTACATTTCTCAAAATATGCCATTCAAAACAGTAGTATTAGAAGTAATTATCTTGATTGTAACAGATTATAGCCAGCAGCGCTGGTTATGTCTCACAGAATCTCACCCATCATACAGGGCTGTGAAGGCACGTGTGCTTTTTAGAGGGAAATATTGAAAAACAGGTTGTATGTGTAGGTATGGAAGAGTGGCTTATTTTTTCAGTTCATTTTCAGGGATCATAAAGGCTCCTGCCTTTCTGTCTGGAGGAGGTCTGTTCTGGATGCAGGTCTCAGAGCTGTCCATGGGGCTTGGTGGCTGCTGAGGGCAGCGCCGTCAGTTTGGAGCTGGTAGCTGGCAAGGCTCCAAGATCCTACAGGGGAAGGTGGGACAGCGGAACAGTTGGGAGTGGATTTGCAGGGGTAACTCGGGGAGATGGGTGTCCTCTTGTAGTCAGGGACTGACTTTGAGTGTGTGAGATTAAGGTGGGAAGTCAAAGAGGAAGGGAGATGTGGCAGGATAGCGAGGGGGTGTGGGGAAGTGGTGGCATTGCAGGCAGATCGGTTGGTGAGGAGCACAGGAAGAGTACTGCAGTGGTGGGAAGGAGCTGTTGTGCTGCTGGATGAATGGAAGCCTCCTGTGCACCTGTGCACACTCAAGCAGGGTTGCTTCGTTTAGGTGTCTCTTCCACTTTATTCCTATTTCCCAGGCTTGTAAGTACCATTGTAAGTAATGTCTCTAATGGCTCAAGCTGTGAAATACTGCAGTTTTAAGCATGAAAGAGGTAGGTTTTCATACTGACAGGGTCACAGCTAAGCATGATTGAGGTAATGAGACTGCCCCACACATAACTGCTCACATTGCTGGTGACAGGGTGGGTGACAGTCCTGGCGGTATCAACAAGGTGGAGACGCTTTGCTCTCAGCTGCACAGGATACTAGTAAACGTGGGAGCATTCCTCGTGGAAACGGACACAGAACTTGCCTGGACTGCTGCGGTTGTGAAGCTCAGCCCACAGCCCACAGCCCACAGCCCACCCGGTAGTCTCGGACTTGTCTGCGTGCTGGGCTGGGCTGCCGGCAGCGCCCGGCGTGGCTGCGGGGCTGCAGGGGACAGGCTGTCCCGCAGCGCTGGCGCTGCCCAGGGGACATGTGGGGACATGTGGGGACATGTCGCGGCCGCCCCGGCAGAGGGCCCCCCGCCACAGCCCGTGGGGACAGCCCGGGCCCCGGCCGGCCCTCCCGGGAGCTTCGGTAGTGCTGAAACAACATGCACGGCGTTATTGGAATTTTGTACAAAATCTACAAGATCCAGTGGGCACCGCTCAAGATTTTGAAATTTAAGTAAAAGTTAAGGTATGGCAATGGTGTGAAAATGCAGGTGTGTGCATGCCAGTATATTTTTATGACAAGACAGTTGATTCCCTTCTGCTAAATTATTAGGAAGTTACAAAGGGACCTGTGCTTAAAATTACAAACAATTCTCTGAGCCAGGTTTGGGTTGTCTTTTCATCCTTTGAGAATGTGTTTCTGTTTTCTGGCCCTATAAACCAAGAAATGTTATCAATCCTTTCCCTAATTTTAGCAGTGTATAGGAGGAGTAGCAGTTATTGTCAGCAAGTGAACTAGTTTAGAAGCACAGGTTACTATCTCCGTTTGAAGTGAGCTGTACCTTTATGACTTTGCTTCTTTAAAATAAATATAAAACTATTGTTCAAGTAGGCAAAGGCTAAAACTAAAAAAGCTAAGGAATTGTTATAGGTGACGTTAATCAACTGTAAACCATAAAAAATGTACTGCAGATATTTGGGATTTGGTTATGAAGTACAAGTGGGTTTCATATTTTCTAGCAGAGGAGGATTTTGGTAGGTGGAGGTGAACACTTTTCAATCCCAGTTGACTGCCTTAATGAGCACAAGTTGGTCTCAAGGAACACAGCTACTAGAAATTCTCACTGTTTCCAACAAGTGGGAGGAAAATATCAATCCTCATCTTCTCTGAATTCAGTCTTGTGGTCTGCTTCTCCTTTCACTTTGAATTTATTTCCTTGTAAAAAGTATGGCTGGCAAAGAAGTTAATCTGTGAGCAAAGGGGAGCGAACTCTTTGGTTGCTGCTCTCTTCCTTTAGCAAGTCTGATCTCCTCTTAAGGCATTTGACCTAATCTGCTCCCTGTCTGTATAGTCCATTTTCCCAACTGGCTTCCTGAGGAATGAACAATCCTGACCTACTGGAAAACACCATGGTTACAGACAGGTATTTTTTCAGCTATTTCCGTTTTATAGGAAATAGATAAAATGCGTCAGTGTCGAGTTAAGGGTCTTCAAGCAGCACCTGTGTTTGTGATCCAGTGTGAGTGTGTAGGAGGTGATGCTGTGCTTGCAAGCAGGCTATTTTGCTTGCAAAGGGCTGCTCTGAGAGATGGCAGCTCTTGTCAAGGAAGTTTTTTCTTCTGGGCTTTTTGTTTGGCTTTGGGTTTTTTGTGCAGTTACTTAGCCACTTCCTGTATTTGGCTGTCCGTAGTGTTTTCTCAACTATAATACTGTACTCAGGAGCCAGTGACAAACTATTTTAAGAACTCATACAGTAGTCTTCTCATTTACCTAACTAAAATGAGAAAGTTAGCCCTGCATTGACCACTTGTTAGCTGATGACAACTTTTACTTTGAATCTGGCTCCCCCTCCCCCTCATAAAGTCCCTGGCTCAGCAAATATTTGAACCTGCCCAAGTTAATAATGAAACTGAGATCTTTATCTGAGAGAGACATGCAAGCTACTGAGGGTGGTGGTTTTCTTTTTTCTTTTTTTTTTTCTTTTTTTTTTTTTTTTTTTTTTACAGTACTAAAGTCAGGTTCACTTTTTAATGATGAACCAGAGAGTAAGTGGATACCTTCTGCACAGCACAGTTCTAAGCAGTTAAGAAGAGAGAGAAGGCTTGGCTTTTCTCACTGCATGTTAAAGCTTTTTTGGTGGATTTTTATGGAACATTGGTTGGAAAGCAGAACAGTCTCCTTTTCAGAATTTTATTTTCTTCATTGCTTCATAGAAGGTTCCTAGTAAAAGAAGTTTTGGAGGTTTTTTAAGCAAGATTTTTTTTAAAAGAGGAAACTAATCCATGTTTCAAGTTATTGGATTGTGTTTTCAGGCTGTATTACAAGGGCGAGAATTTGTGATGCATAATTTACAAAGTAAGTGATTTTGAATTTCTCTCTGTGTGTTTTCTTTACCACATTATGGAAGTGTTTTACTATACTGATTACCAAGTAGAGCTTCCATAGTGAATGCAGTTAAGTACCTCAGCACCTCTGCAGGTTATACAGGGAATAGGGAACTTGCCTGTCTGCCTCCTGTCTTTTCTTGCCTGGAAGCTAGGCTAGTCTGAGCTGAGCACTAGTATAATTAAACAAGTGTGGGCAGTCCAGAATTTGGCTACCAGTGAAATGCTGGAGAAGTAATTTTTCCTGAAAGCCTTTACCAAGTGGAATAAAAAAAAATCTTACTGGTCCCACATGAGATCTAAATGCAGCAACATAGTCTCTGTAGGAAATCTTTATAACCTATATTTAAATTAAGACTTTGGCAACTCAACTGTTTGGGTAGCAGGTGGGCTAAACTTCCAAGTCCAGTGTTCGGGCTTGTATCTGAGATGATTTTAAGTCTCCTATTTCATTTGGAATTGAAAGGAATCTTTGGAGCATGTCTAACTAAACAGGGAGGGGATTCTACTTCAGAATTATTTAAGCTTGTTTTTGTATAAAGGAAACTAACATGCATTTTTTTGTAGCTGTTGGTGCTCCAGGCATGTTTTTGTATGTTAATGCTTATCTAAAAGGGGCAAGCTGCTGAAGGGCACGGGGTGTGTGTGTGTGTGTATTATATATTTGGGAAGGTTATAAATTGTGTTAATTTTTTTAATGAGTATTTGTGAGATAGAGCACATTTCAGCTGCAGCAGGATTTCTCGTGATGTAGGCACAGATAGTTGCTACAGCTACTCTTTGTTGTGGTTATTTTTGGTATCTTTTTCTGCGTCCACAGATTATAGTGAGTATAAAGCATTCACATTGCTTTATGTAGCATTCTGCTCTGGAATGAATAGTCTGTTCTGTACATGTTTTTTCCAAGAGGTCTGAGAGAGTTACAGTAGGCAATGGGGGGAGTTAGGAGAAAAAATTTCTAAATGGTAGGAGGGTACTGATGATATAAAGTCAAGCACAGAAGGAGACACTGACAAGGGACTTGTGTTTTAAAAACAATTAACTTGATAAACATCTCAATGAGAAGGGTAGAGAAACAGTGTGAAAAGGCAGACTAAATCTTTTTGTATCCTGACAAACTGGCTTTTTATGTTTAGCAAAATCTTATTCCAAAATTTTGCTCAATTTAAACTTTCTATCACTGTTCAGACATGTTTGCTGAATGTAAGAGTACAATATTTGGGTTTTGGATTTCAAATAGATTGATCTGGATTGTATTTTATAACAAAATAATAAGGGGGGAGGACGTCTCTGCAATAAGCACATTTTATATAATATGAAGTGTATCAGACCTGTGTGTCCTTTAAAATCATAGAAGTCTGCACAGTTTAAAAACATAATCCATACTTCATTATGTTGAGATATGTATGCCTCTGTATGTATGTGTGTGCAAAATGGGCGTGTGATGGATACACACACACACGCAGACGTAATGCTCTTTTCCCTTCTGCATCTTTAATATACACAGGAGGTCCAGAAACATTTAAAATCTTTTTGAATGGTAAACGTCAGGCATCCAAGCAGAAGAGTGCAACTGAGATGTCACCGACCTACTTCTAAGGGGAGCTGCCCTCTGTGTGAGCGTGCATGTGTTGTGTGCGTGTGTGTGTTAACAGCTACGTGCTGCAGCATATCAGCCTTTTGTCATCCTGCCAGGATTGGACTGTACCATGCTGCAAAGTCAGGAAAACGAGTCGGGAAGATGGGCGAGGAGAGCTTGCTAGCTCCTTTTGTTTGCAATACCAGGTTTATATTACAGTTCTGCTAAATGTAGATTCTTTCTGAACTGAAATTGTTTTAAGATTAATGTAGAATACAATGATGAAACAGGAGTGGTCTGGTGACATTATTTTGACATGATTGGCTGAGGATTATGATGTAATAGGTTACAGTGCAGCCCCTTATAGGTTTTAAAATGAATTCCAAGACACCATTACAAAGAGAGTCTGACTCTTTTCTTGTATCTGAGCTTACTCAGTGAAACTCATACAAATGTACAATACTGTTTGGAGTATGGAAGAACTGGATATAGAATATCCTAAGACAGATATAAATTGTGGCACAGACTTGATGTTTTACATAGAAATGGATCCACCAGGTAAAACTGCAGTCTTATTACAGAAGACTTAATTCGTTTTGGTCTTTACAGTAGCTACTGAAAAATTCCTACTGGATATTGATACAAATAGTTTTTCTTTTTCCTTTTTTTTTTTTTTTTTTTTCTCCATAAATCAGAATTAAATTGTGGGTTTGTGCATGGTTATAGCAATTAGAATCATAACCTGTAGAAATACTTGCCTGCTTACTTAATTGAATTTTTACTGAATTGACATGTTTCTGTTTTGATTTTATTCTGTCAGATGTAGTTCTAGTTCTGCTATTATGCCGTAAAATATTGTGTTTATTTTATTATTATTTTTGCTATCTCTGTTCCACACTGTGACTAAAAGGAGATGGTGTAATAACACTTACTTCCTGAAACAGTGATTACAGATTTTTTTAGGAAAAAAACGTATTTTTAAATATAACAATGTTATTTGAATACCTGCTTTTGTGTATGTTTTATATCATATAAAATTATTATGCTATCTTGATCTTCATTGGAAGTTTGAAAACATCATCTTTTGTAGCCAGTCATATAATGTATAGGGCAGAGACATTCATAAGGAATGATGTACTTACTGGAGAACTAAAAGAGTTGGGTTGATTTTTAATCCTGATTCCGATGTAGTCCCCCTTGCTCCTAAGTCTGGAGTGCTGCAGTATCTTCTCTGGCACCCACTGGTATACATATGCAGCTTTGACATTGAGAAAAGGGGGATGTGGTTTTTAATCAGTCCTGGTATTTGGAACACAATTTATTCTGTAGAATGCTAAGATTAACACAAGGGATATTTGGGTCACAGATGGGTTTCTTAAAGCTTTTTTTTGGCACATCATCACACAGAATGCTGAGGATCACAAAAACACAATTCTTCTTAAAACATACAGTATTGCTGTGGGTTTACACGTTTTATAACTTGGCTTCTAGGTGAGGAAACAGCAACATTGCTCTAAGATCATTACATAGGAAGGAAAAAAAATACATGTTACATGTTTTATTATTTATATTCACCTGAAGGTAGTGGAAGAAGCTAAAAGCAAACTTCAGATTTTTTTATCTCAAATGCTTTCTTCTCAGGGGGAAGATATAAGAATAGTGTTACATTTTGCTAAAAATATATTATTGCAAGTTTAACATACTTTTTTTTTTTTTTAAACAGTTCCTCTTACTGAATTATACTGTTTTCAGTAAAATATCTTGATTCCTCTATTTTCTTTTAAAGGCTGCTAGTGATGGAAAGCTCTTAATTTGTAACTTTTTTGTTCCCGTCATTCATGTACTAATCTGTGATTTCAAAGAATATATTGTCAGGTTTTCTATGAATTATAATCAACTTTTTTTTTCCCTCTCCTTTCATTTGCAGCACTGCCTCCTAAGCCACCGAAACCTAATACTGTAACTAACAACGGCATGAATAACAACATGTCATTACAAGATGCTGAATGGTACTGGGGAGATATCTCAAGGTAAATCAACATAAGACAAGTATTCCTTATATTTGGCTTTATGTTCTTGCTATGCTGTTTTCTGTGTATGTGTTACACTTAAGTATAGAAAAATAACAGTTCTAAGAGCCATTTTTAGTATATTTTCCAACACAAACATATTACAGTTGGTTTTATTCCAAACATGACTAAAAAGTTACTGGCAGTCAGCTAGAATGTAGTATGTGAAGATATTGTTCTGTTGCTTTAAAACAGCTATATAAAATGCTAGCATGAAAGGACAAAACCAATAAATAAATATTTTTTCTTTGTATTTTGTCCAGAATTCCAACTGTAGACACAATAGTTAACAAGCCAGACTAACAAGTGCCATATATTAGCAACATTTTTAACTGTACTATATATAGGTACATTAGAGCAGCACTGGCTGCTCCAATTGTTCAGGCTTGTGTGAACAAGCAGAAAGACCTTTGCATTAATATAATTTTCTTCAGCAGTTGGAGTTCGTAGGATATAACATTTTTGTATCACAGTTGTTCTTCAGCAATGTTAAATAAGATATTAAATAGCTATTTATTAATATAGACACGAAGAAGGCTTATAAAACCCACTTATTTTAAAACAGAAGAATCTAGAGCACAGTGAGAGGATGAATGCGTGAGAAGTAGCTGAAATGACTGGTTACTTTTGCTTTCATTTTAGAGAAGAAGTAAATGAGAAGCTCCGAGACACTGCTGATGGTACCTTTTTGGTACGAGATGCTTCAACCAAAATGCATGGAGACTACACACTTACGCTAAGGTCAGATTAGTTTCACTACATTTAAAAAATAGTGTTCTTTCAGAAATAGTACTTGAAGTATGCCTAACTTTTAAAAAAACTTTATTTGCAGGAAAGGAGGAAATAACAAATTAATTAAGATATTTCATCGAGATGGAAAATACGGCTTTTCTGACCCGTTAACTTTCAACTCTGTGGTTGAGCTTATAAACCACTACCGGAATGAATCTCTAGCCCAGTATAATCCTAAACTGGATGTAAAATTACTGTATCCAGTATCTAAGTACCAGCAGGTAATTTGGTCTCTTTTCTTTGTGTTTCATTAAATACAGAGAAATTACTGCAGAATGGGGAGTCATTTATCATTAAGAACTTCAGCTCTGTTAATATTTGAAAAAAATGAAGTGTGTATAAAGATGGATTTTTTTGTTTAAAACCGACTCCACAGTTTGCTTATATAAGTAATTAAAAGTTTAGGTACTGCAGATACATTATTAAGAATTAAACTTAGATTAATAAAAAGCCTACTCATTAGTGATTAAATACATAATTTTCAGTATAAAGCTGAACACTTGCAGTGCAAAATTGCCTTTTGTCATTCATTTATCATTCGCATATTTTGTATATAGAATGTTTTATCTCCATAATAATGAAAGAGTGACACCATGTAATTATCTAGGCATTTTTAGCAGTTTGATCCTGAAAATCTGTGCAATGTAATTTTTTCTGTATCTCCCATTCTGCTCATCATTCTAGGATCAAGTTGTAAAAGAGGATAGCATTGAAGCAGTGGGAAAGAAATTGCATGAATATAATACCCAGTTCCAGGAAAAAAGCCGAGAATATGACAGACTCTATGAAGACTACACAAGAACATCTCAGGTGAGCTAGATTTGAAACCAAAGAGAAGGTGGAAGACTTACTTAGATTTAGAAGAATATTGTTGTATATTCATACTGTCATATTCCTCCATTCTTTTCCACCTCCCTTCTGCCACCTCTACTGTAGCCCAAAAGAGGAATTGTATCTGATGTGCTTGCTTATTATATTAGAATCCCTTATTCATATTTGAACAGTCAGCATCTGTAACCTAACCCACCCTATGCCCAAGTTTGTTCTGTATCCAAAGCAAGCACAAAACTGTCTTGATTTACCAACACTTCTGCACAGTGACCTCATCAAGCTGAGTTATGGTTTTCAAGACACATTTGCAGCAAAGCATTGTATTTTTTGACTAGTTTTTAAAGGGTCTGGTTTCATCTGTGCAGGGTGGAGAGATAGTGTGTATAGATAACAGTGCAGGAATAAAAAACTGCCTCTGTCCTTTTTGCAACTTAATCAATTATTCGCAAAATTTTAAGGTGCCAGTGAATTAGTGCTGTTTTACAGACCTGGAATCAAGACTACTTCTCTAAGTTGTGCAGAAAGTATGTCTAAAAATAATTGAAGAAAGATGTAGGAGTGCCAGCAACTTGAACTAATGACTTAATTATTGACTAGCTATACAGGGGCTGGAGGATGGACTAGATGACCTCTTGAAACCTGTCCAGACCAACATCTTAAACTTGTATTTCAGAAAGCCAGATGTGCCTCAAAAGACATTAGTTGGTACAAAAGGCAAAGTGCATTGCCATAAAGATCTAAATATCACAAAATTTATACAGACAAAGACTGTAGTGAGCCCTGTGTCTGGCAGTTTTAGTTTCTTGGAAAACTGCATCTTGCAAAGCCTCATCATGGTGGCCTTTCACACAGGCCTGTTCTCTGTGTTATAAGGCTCTGCAGATAGAATGTATTCTCGAAAAGGGACACTAAAGTCTTATGTTAAAATATATTGAAGTGCTTCTGTAATAGAAAACTGTAAATTGTCCTTTCCATCTGATCACAACGTAGTAACAATTACTGTTTTTTTCAGGAAATTCAAATGAAAAGAACAGCTATTGAAGCATTTAATGAAACAATTAAAATATTTGAAGAGCAGTGCCAGACACAAGAAAGATACAGTAAGGAATACATTGAAAAATTTAAACGAGATGGAAATGAAAAAGAAATACAAAGGTCAGTTTTCATATTTGCATTTCAAATTGTGATGATTTTGAAGAAAGAAACAATGCCAAGTATAGATCTGCCTAAAACTAAAGCAAGATGGCAAGTTCAGTTGTAAGCAAAGCAAGCCTCAAATGGAGATGTGAACTTGCAAAATGTACATAGCTACATCTAGATAAATAATCTGTTTTCTTAAGTGTCTACACTGCAGACTGTGTCTAAATAGCAGATGATAAATTTCTAAGCAATAAAATGTCAGAGTGTAACTTACCACATTATTCCATTCAGAATTATGCACAACTATGAAAAACTCAAGTCTCGAATAAGTGAAATTGTGGACAGCCGGCGAAGATTAGAAGAGGATTTAAAGAAGCAAGCAGCTGAATATAGAGAGATAGACAAGCGTATGAACAGCATTAAGCCAGACCTCATACAGCTGAGGAAGACAAGAGATCAGTACTTGATGTGAGTATCATGATGAATTAACAAAAAAAACGTTTGAAGGTTGTTATGGTTTTTTAATCGGAATCCAGCTTCTGTGACTAACAAATTTTTTTGCTATCACTGTCCAGGTGGCTGACTCAAAAAGGTGTTCGACAAAAGAAACTAAACGAGTGGCTTGGAAATGAAAATACAGAAGAGTGAGTATTATAAGATTTAAAATTTTTTAGAATTTCAAACTGTCTTACACGAATGTGAGAAAAAGCATATTTAATTCCTGGACCACACAGAGGATATCTCAAGCCTGTGCCTCCAGTAACAATGCACACAGTTAACACATGGCAGCCTTGCATCATGCAAGTGTTAGAAAGAACTCTTATCTCACTCCCTGCTCTCCATTATTCAGGGAAGTGCATAATCCAGTTACTGTAGCAAAGAAATTTAATATAAACTGTGTCTTTATTCTTACCAGCAAAATACAGATCATAAGGTATTAGTATTATAGTTAGTTACAGAAATGCTATATGGATAAATAAATTGTTCAGAAGGTGTCTTCTGGGGCAGGCTTTTTCCAAATTTCAGCTGTTGGTACTGTTGTGGTATCTAGTGTGGTAGTACTCATATCAGTATATCACATTGCTGTTGGAGATGCTAAAATGGTATATACTGAAGTGATCCTTCTGGTTTTGTCATGTGGTTAATTTTTCTGGGAAATGTCAAGGTAATATTCTGTCATTTCAGCAATTCAGTTTACTATAGGTTCTGACAGGGGCTTGGCTAATTAATACCTTTTGCTTCATTCCTGGGAAAAATAGCACCTGGATGGTGTCAACATAGATCAAATTTAAACAAAAGGAAGCCACCAAATAAACTCAAACAGATAGTAACAGTGACAAGCAAATAGAAAAACAAAGTTACCTGATTAATATTTGCATCAGCTTTTTCTGCCTATGTAGTTTCCTGTGCATGCCTTTTACACTGCGTGGCTGAACACTTAGTGAAAGCAGCAGACTGACAGTAACTGTTTTGTGGATTTACATTCTAGCCTTGTCCACATCTATTTTAATTTGGCTTGGTTTATTGAGTCTCCTACTGTTATCCTGGAAATTGTACATCTTTGCTGTGGCTGCACTGGCAGAAGCAGAGAATAAAAATGGCGGAAACATTTTAAAGCCGTGTTGTTCAGTCAGTCACAGCACAGCTCAAAGATAAGATAGAGAATATGTAGGCACCTGTTTCCAGCATTATTTCCATTACTTAAACAGTAGTCAGAGAACAATATCAGGCCATAGTTTTAATGTAGCATCTAAATAGCAAGTGAAACTGTTTAAAGATCATCCTAATTTGCTCTCACTCTGCAGCTCTCCTTGCGAGTCTAGTAAGTGCTCAGGTTTCTGCTGAAAAATGAAAACGTTCAAAATATTACTTTAGAAAAAAAGTTGTAATGAAGAAAAAAATCAGTGGCCAGCAGGAAAAACAGGAATTGCATTCTCTAGGTGCTCTTTGAAAATAAGGCCTCTGCTGAATGCATTTGAGTACCATGCAGGATAAAGGAGTGCAATGGGATAAGGGACCTAGAGAATCAACTTAAACAAAAGAACCCTTCTTTCTGAAAAATTGAATTCTATGTGAGATTGCTGATTTCTGTAGACTGCTTTGAGAATCTTCAGAAAGACAGAACTGTGGATGAGAGAGAATTCATGTTTTCTTAGATCAAGGAAAACTGATTAAAAACCTATTACAGAGAGAGTAAATACTTTAGCCAAACATAGAGTGATTGTAAGCTGAGTAGGACAGGCAGTGCCCACCAATGCAGGCTGCCGCAGGAGCGGGGAGCGTTGAACCAGAGGCATCTTTCATGGTAGGCTTTAGCTGAGAAGTTTCTCTATAATACTGAATCAGCCTTACAGTTAGTGGCGGTTTTGGTAGAGAAGGCTGTATTTTATATGCTTTTCTCATAATAATGATTATATGGAGACAGAGAGCACTCTACTATCCACTCTTTACACAAAACCACCTCCCCTATAAATAATTAATCTGTCTTAACTGTGCAACTGCTCATAGCTTTCCCAAGCAGCAGCTGTAGTTGATACATTGCATGGTTTTTCACTGCTGACCAAGTGTTCTGATCTTTGAAAACTAAGCTGACTCAGAGGGTATTGATTTCATTTGGCTTGCTATTTACCAAAACAGTGAGCAATGACAGAGGTACTAAAGTGCTTGCTGCATCCTTTTATAACCTTCTTTATGTGAACATTTTTAAAAGAAACAAGAACCAGCACTTACATCTTATTTTTATTCAGTGGTTTAAGCAGTGCAGTATTACATGGTTTGCATCCTTATTTTTACTAGGGAGGCATTCTACTAACCACTGACTTGCTGCTTTTGTAGTAATGTGAAATGGGGCCTACTTAACTAATGGATTTTGCTATGCTGTATGTTTCACAAACACATTCTGTCCTATTTCAACAGCCAATACTCTATGGTAGAAGATGATGAGGATTTGCCTCATCATGATGAGAGAACTTGGAATGTTGGCAATATCAATAGAAGTCAAGCTGAAAATCTGCTGCGGGGAAAGCGAGATGGAACATTCCTTGTTCGAGAGAGCAGCAAACAAGGCTGCTACGCCTGCTCTGTTGTGTATGTACCCTAATTTGTGAATGATGTAACCAACATTTTAGGCACATACCTTGAGCCTGGGGCAGATAGTCATTCGTATATGCATGGATCTCATTGGACATTTGGGCTTAGAAGCAGACCATCAAGTCCAGAGGCCATCCTTATAGCTGCTCCATTTCCTACACAGCTCAGACCTGTGCCACTCCCACAGCTGAGCCTCACACAGAGGAAGGGAAACCAAGGCACAGATGTATGCCTTTATGTGCAGCTGCTAAGTCCTGCCTGTTTTCTGCCTCTGTAAGGCATCTGGGAATTTGGGTTAAGCCTAAGCTTTTGCTATTATCCCAACCACAGAAAACAAGATTTTTATGTAGTGACTAGCATCTTAAGATTTATTCCTAGTACCTTATTTTATACTGTACTGACAAACTAACACCTGGTTGCTTTTTTTCCTCTTTAGGGTGGATGGAGAAGTAAAGCACTGTGTGATAAACAAAACACCTACTGGGTATGGATTTGCAGAGCCATATAACTTGTACAACTCACTCAAAGAACTGGTGCTACATTATCAACATACATCACTCGTGCAGCACAATGACTCTCTCAATGTCACACTAGCCTACCCAGTATATGCACAGCAGAGGCGATGAAGATCTTAATACTCTGGGTTGATTGCTTTTTTCCTAAAGAAAAGATCTGACAACATGAGGCCTCTGGAAAGAGAAGGCTCCTTCCAGCCTTACTCAAGAATATGAGCTGCAGTATCAAAGCTATCTGTCTTCAGATGGGACTAGAGCTTTCCTTTACAACTGCAGTGGGAGAAATCACAGTATTAAGCTGTGAACTTATGTTTCTAATCTGAAGTGCTTTTTTTAATTAAAAGAAAAACACAAGAGAGAGAAATCCTAACCTGATCTCCCTGCAGGGACATAGAGGCCTTTAACCATGGTGCTTGTTTACGACCATTTCTGAAGCTTTACCAGCTAGAACTTTGGATTCTCCAGATACAAGATGTAAGATGTCTTGTTACTCAGTTATTGGAATTTCATGGTCACAACCTGGCTTGGATTTGGTGTTGCTGCACTCAGTGGATCCAGACACACAGCATTGTGGATTTTTTGGTTTCTAGTGAATGATATGTAGCAGAATGGCACTTTCATTTCTAAGGGACACTTTAAAAGGACTTCAGTTAGAGTATGTTGTTCAGAGTAATTGTAATAGTGAAGTGCCAGAAAGTGTTTCGTTTAGATGTTTAAAAATCCTGTTTCAAGAATATATTTAAGGCTGAAAAAACCAGGACTTTCAATGGCATACAGTATATAATAATGTACATAGTATTGGATGACTAACTATCATTGATGGAAACTATCAATACCAAACTGCTTCTCTCTTCCCTTTTCTGCTTGCTGAAAGCTGACTTCTTAGACTGTGCTATGCAATACTGAGTTTTCTTTAGATAGTAGTCTTCTCTCAAGCATATCTACAAGTTAGGCTTGTTTGTCTTTGTCTTGTCTTATTTTTTCTTTCTTTCTTTTGCCTAATAATATTTTTTCCTGAATATTTTTTGTTATTAATTTTTTTGTTTTGTTGTTTTGTTTTTTAATGTACAGGAAGCCAGCAAGAGTTAGCTTCAGAATTGAAACTTAAATATTTTACAATTTTCTTTGTACAGAATATTGAGCTACTAGCTACTGGCTCAAAGTTTTAAAAGTTTTTGTTGTTGTTTTTTAACTAAATATTTTGTTGGGCAGTGCCTGATAAGCTTCAAAGCTGCTTTATTCAATAAAAAAAATATATGAACGTTACAAAATATCACAGAGTCCAACAATATTGTTTCAGAGATATCTTTAGAATACGGTACCACACTATGGTTGCTTTTTGAAGCATTTTGTCTTTGTATTTGGAAGACAAAAAGTTGTGTATCCTTCTCTGACAGTCATTGTAGAAAAAAACAGGAAATTTGGCTACTAAGGCAGATAGATTGGATTCCAGAATTCCAGAATTCCACTCTGCTTAGTACATAAATGACTTCTTGACCTACTGTGACAGAATTTTTGTCAGCATGTAAAGATATTTCATTTCATATGAAGGACGTTTCTCTAATCAATTGCCTAGAGTTGTTTTTTGTATTAGTATTGTGGGGAAAAAAATCACCCACCTTTACTGAGAATGTTTGGATACAACATACATCTAATTACGACTGGAAATTGTCACTTTTGAAAATTATTAGACTATCATATGTAAAATTTTTGATTTATTTTCCTAAGTTTGTTGTCTGAGGCAGTATCAAAATAAACACTTCTATAATTTCAGGCACCAGAGACTTATAGAATCATGGTTTACTTAAATGAAACAAATACATGAATCCCACTAGAGCAAACTTACCAAGAATTGTGGAGCAATTGACTGTGGGTGGTTTGCATTGGTTATTTATTGTCCTAACCACTGAGAAAACTCACATATTGCAAATTGATAAAGTGATGAACATATGAATGTGTTCTTCTCCTAGGATGAAAAAGCAAGATCTGCTACTATTAAAGGGAGTTGAACACACAATCAAAAGAGTAAAACCCATGGAGTTCTCTAATAATATCTCTGTTTTAGAGATATATGGGTTTTAATTCAAAGAATGCAGTGCTTATTAAGCTGTTAGAAATAATAAGCAGGAATTTGCCAGTCTCCAGTAGTTTTTATATTATCTTTTGATTTTTACATTATTCTTTCATTTCTGAGGCTGTAAGGCTTTTTATATTACTTTGATTTTGTGCTCTTTTTTTTTTGTTTTTTTTTTTGTTTGTTTGTTTTTTGTTGTTGTTGTTGTTGTGGGTTGTCCTTGTTTTCCTGTAGATGTATTTTCTTACTTAAATTTTTATCAGGAAACAAGATTCAACCCATATTAATGTTTGGGGATAGTTACTGCTTACAAAATCATTCTGAATATTTTTTCTGAATACAAGTTTAATCTTCATGCCTTCCCTTCCTCATTCTACACTTTTTTCAGGCCTGTAGAACCTTGTAAATGTGGTTTGCTAATAACTGGTCTTTACTATGAGAAGCACCAACAATTAGTCTAGCATGCCAGTTATACTACTGAGCCTGAAGTTACAAATTAGTTCAGTATACAACGATTTAACACTTGTAGCAATCCAAGATATTCTTTGGACATATATTCATTTCTGAATGTTAAATATTTTAAGAGTAAAATTGTATTTTTTTCTCTGTAAGCAAGACATATGTAATCTGAATTGATGTTTCACATAGCATTTGTCAAGAAGTTTTAACATAGTTAAGGCAGTTGGATCTAATTTCCCTCATATTAAGAAAACCTCTGCTATGTCAGTGGGCCATATCCTTAGCATGCCCAGTCCAGTATGGGTTATCTTTTGTTCCTGTCATGCTTTAGAACTTCTATTCATTTGTGGTTGTAGCAGAGAAAAAAAAAACAACCAGTGTGTCTGCTAATTTGGCACTAGCTTTTCTTGCACCAGTGCAAGTGAGCACCATGTTGTGGGGATGAGTGCTTAGGGCTTCCTAGGGGGAAGTTCTGCCTATACAGGGTTTGTGCAATTTGCAAGGATCACTTACGCCCTCAAATTGGCATGAGTGGGTTTTCTTTGGTACTTATGTATTGTGTGGTCTCTGCATTTCCCTCCCTCCTTTAATGTACAGAGCTACATCCTGCCAAAGGCCCTATTCACTGCAGAGTTGTTTGTCCTTAATGTACCATATTGTTCACTCCAGTTTTGATTTGACCTCAAACAGGCTAAAGCAGAAAAAAAAAAAAAAAGCATGTGGATATAATGAAGAGACATGGTGCTTTTCTGTATTTCTGTTGGCATGCAATTTTTCCACCTAATGTGATTAAAGCGTAGGATTTGTTTTGTAACTTTTTTTTTTTGTTCAGGGAATTTTTTGTTTTATGTTAAAACCCTGAGTTATGCTGTACTGCAGCAGCACTTTCCCAAGGCCTTTGAAAGGTATGAGACATAACACAGAGAACCAAAGCCCACAAGCCAAATTAGGAGCTTCTGATTTCTGTAAGTTGAAATTTGCATTTGCATATTTGGGGATGTGTAGTTGTGCATAGGCGTGCACACTTACTTTGTTTATATATTATAGATGCCAGTATAGGTGCATTTTCACCAAACATGATCATTTTGCTGAATACAGTAAGTGATATAATTAACTTTTTTAAAGACACAAATACATGCACACTAGACTTTTGTGGGTGCAGCATGTTTCCAAATACAGTTAGAAAACTGAGTTTCTGTGTTGTTGGATATATTCTTTTTCAAAAAAAAAGCTTGTCTGTATGGTTCAGTTATCTAAAAATTCTTGTCAAGCAATCTGTAAAACCAAATCTTCAAATTTTTCTGTTTTGTGTCAGCTGTTCTGTAGTGAAGAAATGGCTTTGTCTTGTAATTGGCAATGAAATAATAATGCTTGGGAAAACATTCAGATGCTTCTAATGGGGAAAACTGCCGATTTTCACACAGTGCTTTTGCTATGCATGGTATTAAGTTGGGAAAGTGAATCCTGATACTGTTTTTTTTCAGGGTCACTTTAGAAATGGGCAGCTCAAAGCACAATGCCTCCCATGGGACAAGGTTCCAAAATGCAATATTTTATGTAGAATCATCTTATATTTACTGCAGTTGAAGACTAAACCGGACTGTGGGAGTTGGTAACATTACATTGCACTTGTCCTAATGAGACTGCATTAGCTGCCCAAGATGCTGCTATTTTTTTTTCTTGTTTTTAAAAATAAAGCTCTGTTCTGTTAAATGTCTATAAAACATTAAGATTCCTTTGTTTTAAAATGGTCTTTGAGGAGGTAGAGGGTAAAGTGGGTTGTAAATTGCCTTTACAAGGCAACGATGAAAACATGCCTCCTTGTAGTTTCATTTAAGCTATAGTTGATGGAGCTGTGTCTTGTTTTTAAGTTGCTTTAAAAATTGTAATAAGTCTTTAAGCAGAATAAAGATTGTTTTGAAACTGCCTTTCAGTTGTTGAGGCTTCAGTAAGGACTGAGATGTTTATTTACCTGCATATTTGACCAGCTCGTCCTGTCTATGTGTTCTCTTTGAAAATGAGACCCAAATACTCTTACTATTTAGAGGGAACTAGGGAGCAAATAATTTGAGCTCACAGCCATCCTATCTATTGAACTGAAGGGAGTAGTTAAGTAGCTCCAAAGGACTCTCATATCAAAAAATGCCAAAATGACAATTTTCCTCATCTCATACTCTTGCAAAAGCGGTACAGTATTCATGATCTGTGATCTGCCTTTCACTGCAGATTAAGTTCTGTTTATTCTGTGAAGTCAGTGTAAGCTTTGTCACTGATACCTATGGGGCCAGCCTGTCAGCCTGTCTAGCTTGAAGTATTTTACCAGCTTCATGGCTGCATTGATTGTGAAAATCAATGTGAGAATGAGGAAGAAGGAGGAAGTGATGTGGGATTGGGTAAGACCAATCACCAATCCTAAGCGTTGGTTTCTTCCCCTCATTATTGGTATGCAGTATCTGACTTGTTCAAGAGCATCCGTATCTTGCCCCAGGAATGGTCCTTCAGGGAAGTTAACCAGCCACTTTGGAAGCAGAAGAAGATTCCAATTCCCATTCTGTCCAAGGCTTCCATTCAAAAATCTGCCCACATTTTGCTTGTAGTGCTTACAGAATACCCTCTGACTGAGGCACTCAGGTAGCACAGGCTTGAAATAATTATTAATAATCACGACATTGTTGCTGGCCCTTAGGCGTTTTTCTAAGAAATGTATAATAAAGTTAGTTACCATATTTTTGAAGCTTATTTATTTTTGGCCAATAAACAAGAAGTGCAGGTAGATTTCCAATTAATATATCTGTTGCAGTTTTTC